AATGTCATCTGTCTGAAATTGAGAAATGTGCTCATTTCAGAATTTATTTACTGTATTTCTTGGCTTTGTGAAATAAAGCAATAGAACAATCCTAAGAAAACTATGATAAAGATTAGTGAACTTTCACACTGAACAATTACATTTTGCAAAAGTGCCAATTGCTTTTCATTGAATCTGAGAAGTTTAACATGTGGAACTAAGGCTCTAGCTAAGTATGCCAGAAGATTTTTTAAACACAAAGAAATTAAAATAGATTATATAATTGTTCATTTAAATCTCAAAAGTACAGGTCTCCTTTAGATTAATTCACTTAGAGACTTCATAGATTTTTTTAAAAAGACATTAAGCTTAATAACACAGCTTTTTGCTTCACTCCATGTTATGTTTCTGTATCATTCTGCTTACTATTAATGAAATATGCATTCTCCTATTGTTAAAACTTGTCAAATCAGTTTAGTGTATTGTCACGCATAATCACTTTTAGTAAAAGGACATTATTTTAAAGTTGTATGGCATGCCATTAATATCACTATAAGAACTTCTGTCCCTCATCCAGCTGTTAAGCTTCCTTGACTATTGTTTTAATGTGAACAAAAGAGTCTCATTGTTCTTGATCTTTTCCTGTTACTCTTCAGTTTATCAACTTTAAAAATAACCAAGTTACAACTTTTGATCTTCTGTTTCTTACTGTGGAAAATGTGTGAAGTGCAATGATTTATTAGTCTATGAGAATTGGGTGCCTTTACATTGCATTTAGCAAGACCTTTGTTGCTTAAGTTTGATTTTTGCTCTGTTAAGCCATAAAAAAACAGAGTTGAGGGAAAGTGACAAAGATGAATAAGGGATGAAAATAAGCCTTTTAAGAAAGTATTAGATCTGTCTAGCTTTAAAAGAGGAGGGAGGCACAGTGCAAATAACGCCCTGCCTCTCTGGACTGAGTTATGGTAGTTGGTTCCAAGGCCTTGCTCTACTGTGATAAACTGATTCACTTTAGACACGTTCCTCCACTGTCTCCGGCAAAATGAGGGGATTTCACTAGATTGGGGTCAACACATTTGTTGTTAAAAGGCCACCTGGCAGGTATTTTAGTCTTTACAGGCCATATGGTCTCTATCACAACATTGGATATTCATAGTTGTTTATGAATATCCAGACAGACAGGTAAGGTTGTGATCCAGCACGACTTCATTTACAAAAAGACCAGATTTCATCCACAGGGCACAATTTGCTGACTTCTGGACTCGATGACCTGGGAGATCCCGTCCACATCCACTTTCTGTGATACTGCTTTATTATCAGCATCACATGCGAAAAGGATGGCTAGTCATTTATTTTCTATGTTGTATCACTCGGGGGCTAGCCAGGCAACAGAAACAAGTTATTGTTCAAAAAATTCAGCACGTAAAGAGGTGTAACTAGGTTTTAAAGAACTGAAAAAGGAAAAAAGAGAACATTGAAGCATCACAGATTTAGCAACTGCCTGCAGCAGCTACCTCTACCTGTGAGACTGAGTTGGCTGATTAAACCGCTGAGGCTTGGAGGAAAAGCACCACAAGGCTGAAACCAGCTCTGTGTGGAGGAACCTGCTCAGCTGATGCTTAAATTCTGAGCTCAAAGAGGCCTCCCTTTTTGGGGAGGCTGCACAATGACAAAAACCAAACAAAAGAAGATAGACTTTAATTAAAGCAGGAGGAATTATATCAAACATTAGAAAGTTAATTTGCTAACCAACTTAGAATACCAATGAGTAAGGTGTTAAATCATTGCCCCAGTGTTTTATAATGAGGGATTAGTTACCTATTCTGGACAGTTGCCATTTCAGAATGCAGAGATCAAGGTTATCTTTTATTCCTCTGATGTGTTCTCACTCTTCCTCCTTTCTCCCTCTCCTGTAAAATGGTATTTAACTTCCCTTTCTTGGTTTAAGATCCCTAGACTAGCTTTAAAAGACATTTATTTCCTTATAGAAATCATTTAGATAGGTAAGTTCCTTTTGTCTGGGTTTCCAGTAGACCCAGGCAACTAAGATAGGAAAGAGAAAATATATATACTTTCAAATATATATACTTTCAAAATATATATACTTTTCTTCCCATAATTGAGCAAAAGGACATTAGCATTATAGAATGTCGAATACTGTATGTGTGAATAGTGATCGTCAGACTGTAGGTATTCAGCCTGCCAAGAGATCTTTTATAAAGAATTCTTACCTCACATGATCTCATTTAAGTGAGAAAAGTGGATTCACTCAATAATATAACGAAGTGAAGATCAAGTTAAAATAGAGAGCTAGGTCATCAGGGGTCAGACCTGGCATTCTTCATGTTCACTAGCCCAAAGTGTCAGTGGACCTGCTGGATATTTCAGAGTTGGTTATACAAGCTGATTCAAGCATTTCATTCTAAAAATGTCTTTGGAAGATTTTAAAATAATGCACCCTAAAAAGTGTAACCATTATATTTCATAGACACTTGGTTTAGCAATGACTCTTTCTCATCTTTCTTCTTTCCTAGAAATTGCTTAGATCCATGGCAGAGGTATTCTGTTATGTTACAGTGCTGACGTCTTTTATAAAGATTATATTGTGGTTATTAATGAGTAAGTGAATGGACAAGCTAATGAATGAATGTCATTACTGAAGGTCAAACACCATAAACAACTTACTTGCTTGGGTGGAGATTTGTGTGTTTCCTGTCATGCTTATTTCCTTGTGCTGAGAGAAAAACCTAGGATGTCTCCTCCTCCTCCTCTCTTGCTTCTTGGTTTTCATAGAGAAGTTCATTTATAATCAGCTATCTGACAAGGTAATACATATCAGTGGTCACAAAAGTGGTTTATAAAACACCTTCGAAGCAAACAACCATGTCATCTTCTATAAATGTTAACACGTGGTACAGTTTTGCACATACAGAAGTGCTCTCCCTGTATTTAATGGCAATCATGCAGTTGAGGCTCAGCTGCCAGAAAAAGGTCATCTTAGGTGTTTTTCCCCTTTTGCCTACTCAGATTGGTCATTTGTGATAAATTAGAATCTAATATTTTCAAGCAATGAAGCTGATTCTCTAGTATTTCTTTTAAATATTCATGAAAAGTGACTTTAATTTTCCCTGTTTGATTTTTAGTAGAAACTCACATACTACTTGTTTTGAGGATATCAGTTTCTCTCTAGTTGTTCTCACTGCAACTTTCATGATTCAGACATTCAGAAGCAAAGTGGCATTTTAAACTGGCAGGCTGGTGTGTCCATATTCATTGTAAATCTCAAATAATCTTTACTGTCTTGTGTCCACAGTATGAACTGAGGTTTTTATTTGTTGAGTTGATTGCTTCTCTTTTTGCACAATAGATATTACGTTTCTCTGTTTAAGGTTATAGGACCTCTTGGCAAGTACAGATTTATGTCCAGTCTTACAGTAGCAAGTGAAATGAAGGCTTTGATTTTTTTTTTAGATTAAACACTTATTTGGTTTTAAAAAGTATAAATGTATTATGTCATTATATATTATATGGTATGTATATTGTGTATACATTAATGTATATGGTACAAGTGTACATTATGTATATTGCATTATATTTTACCTGTGTGTATTATGTATATTATACTTACTATACATATTAAATGTATCAATATTATATACATGTAATATGCATACTGTATATCTTGAATATACGTGTGATATACATAATATATTTGTTTTAAAGAGGAAAAAGCAAATTTTTAGTTTTTTGCCTGACTCAGTATTTTACCCTTGTATTTGCTTTACTTGTTTAAAAATATTTCTGAGTAGTTACATGTAAAACTAATTAATGTGCTCAAAATTATTTTGGAGGGATTCTGTTGATAAGTACTTTGAATCACTAAATGTGCTGTTATGTAACAGATACTCATTAGATTTATCAAAACCGTGAGTCCTTTATGAGGAAAGATTTAACAGGCACAAATACAGCTGTTTCTTCCTGAAAATGACAGGAAGCAAAATCAGCAAAGAGAAACAATATAACTCAGCCATAAAGGCAGCATCTGGGTATGTAGAAGGCGGCTATTAGTGGTGTCTTTTGCTGCCTGCCATGTGATTATAGAATAAAAACCCTCTTTGGATTAGTTTCCTCACCAGTCAAATGGTAGTAATTGAAAGATGAGAAAAATATGTATTTCTTGTAATTGTTCTCTCTTCCTCTTCTCTGTTTTCCCCATTTTTCTCTCCTCTTCTCAACTCATAGATCACTTTATGACTCTCTGTTGCACTTACCGCAATCTACCTCGTATCATTCTTATTTGTGTCTTATTGTTGGGGGGATGTGGATAATACTACATTCACCAGAGCTTGCCCGCCAAACTCACTTCCTCCCAGCCACTCAGATACCAGAAGTAAACTGGCACCTAAGTCAGGGAGGGCACCAGCAGTAGTGCCTGGCACATAGTAGGCTGTCATACTTGTCACTGGATGCACTGATCCCCAGCATAGTATTTTTACATAGCTGAAAAAATAATTTTTTAGGATGTTTTCATATTTTATCCTGACTGTGAAAGGAAAATACTGAAAATTAGAACTTCATGGTTTTCTTACAGCTTAATATAATTTAGAACCATTTTCTCCACTAATGATGTTTATATCTTATTTTACAAATGGGATTCGTGACCCAAAAGAAGCAAAAACTATAATCATTTTTGTAATCAGGTATAATTGCGTCAACTGCGTTAATATAAAATATCTGAACTTTTGTCAAATGAAGACTTTGTGGCCAAAGAGAAATGTTGCAGCCTGTGTCTGGGGCTCTGTGACCCGAGCGGGCAGTCAAGCAATAGTCAGGAAGGAGCGGAAGACAAACTGGACGTTTCCCAGGCACTTGTCTTGGATACTGATGATAACTTTGAGCTTAGCAAACTCTTGGTTAATGTAAATGCTGGAGTAAGCTCTGATTCCAAAGTTTGGGAGATGCAGACTAATTGAAAGTGTTCTCAGCTTACCTGTTCTGACTAAATTCTTCTGTCTCGTCAGCCACAAGCTCTGCCCACTTGGAGGACCTTGCTTACCTGGATGAGCAGAGACACACACCTCTGCGGACTTCTCTTCGAATGCCAAGACAGAGCATGGGTGGTGCTCGCACGCAACAGGATTTAAGAGGTTAGAACTTCAGGAGAGTTTTGCGTTGGGGTGCTCTGGGACAAATGGAAATGGGCAGTAGGCACAGTGTTCCTTGGTTTCCACTTTCTACACTTAAGCCCCCCCTGAAGAAGTGAGCACATGCTAAGTTTATTTCTGCTGAATCTAGAAGAGAATAATCAACACAAATACATTGTACTCACCATAGAATGGCATTGAAATTATCAACAATTGGAAGCTTTGGTGTCTTGAAATTCTGAAAGAAAACAGGTGTAAAGGACTGCTGGCAATGGGGGAATGATATCTGTAAGGTCCTGGATTTCAAAAATGATTGTGGCCCACTGGGTCCTAGCCGTATTGCAGGTGAACTCAGCACTGATGATCATGTTTTTCACTAGAGTGTTTATTTTGTTTTCATTATAGTGGCCATTGCTAGTGACTTTCGTGTTCTTGGATTTAGACAGTGCTTCTACTCCTGTGCTGGCAATACCTAAACAACTTATCCTTTTCCCACTGAGGCTGTTGTTTCTTTACACTCTCTGTAGCAGGTACATGTTTCTAGAGTAGGAACCAGAACCTTTCAGACTCTCCTTTTGTTAAACCATGGTCGAGGCGAGAGGCCTGTTGCCCATGCCTTTCATTAGCTCAAAATGAACCACTGTCTTGGAGAGCAAAGATTATTGCAATCTTTCCTTTGCTCCCTTCCTCCTCCCTTGTCCAGTTCCCCCTCTAATCTGAGTCATGCCATGTATGTAACTCCCTCGGGAAGGGATCCAGACATGCCTGCTGTCCATTCTAGAATTCATGATGCTGACAATTTCTCAAAGATGACTAAGTAGCAAGGACATAAATAATTGATTGTACTCCTGCAATTACTATTCCCCCATCAATAGTCCTGTGTTGATGGTTTCAGTCATAGTTTTAGTTTCCAATCCTTCTATCCATCCTGCTTGCCATTTTTTCAGTTAGCCATATATTAGTCACCTAATATATGCAACTTGTGTATTTCCAGCCCAGAAAGTAGAATTATGTCAAGGACTACTTTAGTGCTGGTAGATTGGTTATCCAAAGCCTGAATACATTTAATGAAGACCAAATAAATGATTTGTGCCAAGACCAGAATGGACAGACAAATCATGAAGATTGGATCCAAATATTAATCTATCTAGATCTGCAGTTAGTTGAAAAATCTGCCTTGCATCTCATTACTGGAAAAAATTGACTTACTGATTTTATTTCTTACTAGTCATTGAGTGGTACATTTTATACTACATAGGAAGCAAAATTAATTGAAGACTTCAGTTTTATATTTCTGAGAACCCTTCATGTTGAGGTCTGTCACTGCATTACAGGTATCTGTTTTCGGTATTTAACGTTTTACTAAGATCTTTGACAAATGCATTCCTGTGAACTTGACGTTTCACTCATGGGTTTTATATAGAATACCACAAAAATCTTTTCCATTGCCTTGAGCTTCAGTCTGCACATTCACTAAAACCAAACTACATCCAAAGATTTTTCTAAAGCTCACCTGAATCTTTAGAAAGCTGTCTGTCTGAAAAATGCATTCCTAACAAAAATAACTTCATATGCCATACAGATTGTATCTCAACTGGCTGTTTATGTTAATACTTGAAGGTAGAGTTTGCCCGCTAATAAAGGCGCTGTGTTATTAGTGTTTCAGTTCCTCGACGTTGTCTTAACATTCCAGAGCTTTTCTTTTAGCAGTCTAAAATGTCAGCGCATGCCATCCAGATGAGTGCCTTCGTCCACAGAGCAGTATTTTGGTGTTTGAATTAGCATACTTTAATTTAGAACTTTGAGGCCCTCGGAAATAATCTCCCCTCAAAAAGTAACTAACGTGTTACCTAGATTACTGTTTACAAAAGACACTGTGGTTTGTGACGTGACTTAACATATATTAACACGAATGGGAAGCAAACCTGGAGAGACAGACTCTCCTTATGTTTCTGTAGACCTGCCTGGCGAGGCCATATAATTTGTGATTATTACATCCAAACATTACACTTTCTGTAGAAACAGAACCACACTGTGTTCCTGGCATAACTTTAAAAAACGCATCACTTCATGTTTTCTAATTTTATTTAAAGGAGCATACAAATTGCAGTCACATGTCAGTTTTGTGTATTTTTTACCTTCTGGTTTACTTGAAGCAAAACAACTTTACCCATGTAATAAGGTGAAAACTTTCCTTAGTATGTGTTAATATATAACTTCCTACAGTAGAGGCTTATCTATGTTGTAACTATTACTCAAACAAATTCTATGAAATAGTTTTTAATCATAGTTGGTTTTCAGTGACCCCAGATCTTTAGACAAGGTAGTTAATGGTGATGCCACTAAGTGTGTCCTGTGGCAACTAAGTTTGCTGACTCATTCCACATAGAGGTCATCTGATCTAACATCCATTAAATATATGTCTAAAGAGCACTTGGGGTAGCAAGCATTTGTGGGGGGCCCATACAGACGGGCTTTCATTGTTCTCTTTAGAGTAGTAGTTTAAAACATCTTAGTCTTGGGACTGCTTTATCCACCTAAAAATTAATTAATGACCTTAAAAATCTTGTGTTTCTCTGAACTATATCTCTTGATATTTATAATATTAAAAATTAAAACTGAGAAACTTGAAATAGCTCTACATTTTTTTTTTGAATACTAGACCCTAATATGTGTTCACTTCATGTAAGATCTAGAAAATTCCACTGTGTACTTGTGAGAGAATGACAGCAGAAAAAGACAAGTAATTTCTTAGTATTATGAAAATAGTTTTGACTTTTTTTTTTTTCTTAACTAATGGGCTTTAATAAGGAAACTTGTTCATCTTATATATTTTCTTTTTTTTAAATAAATTTTATTTTTATATTCCCCATACAATTGCAATCCCCTTATTTTGACCCCAATCCCTCCCCTCCCCGCGCCCCACCACCCATAGAGTGTCTCTGGTTCATAGTTGTTTGTTGATTTTGATTTTCACTTTCTTATAGTTATTCATTTTCCTGGTCCCTTATTTAAGTTTTCTAGATTCCTGCTATGAGTGAGACCATCCGGTATTTTTCTTTTTCTTTCTGGCTTATTTCGCTGAGCATGATCCCTTCCAGCGCCATCCATGTTGCTGCAAATTGCATGTGTTTATCTTTTTGGAATGCTGACTAATATTCCATGGTGTATATGTACCACATCTTCTTGATCCAGTCATCTAGAAAATAATTTTGACTTTTAGGACTCCCTGAAAGTGTCTTGAGAACCCCCGGAAATGGGGGTCAGGTCACACTTTTAAGAACCACTGCTTTGAAAGATACCATTGTAATTGAAGATAAGATTGATGCCTTTAAAGGCCCTACTTTCTGTTTACAGAGATGCAGAAAAGTATAGCTTGAGAACTGATTAGAAGTTGTTAGTGAGCATGGGTTAAGAATATAGGCAGAGTTCATCTTACTCTAAGTAGGATTCAGTATTAGCTGCTTTGTAGTAACTGCAGTTGTTAGACCATGAGGGTAGTCTTTTTGACTGCTGATGCAGAAGTTGCTGGGCTGATAGCTGAGCTAGCATTAAGCTCATCAAGTGGTAGTAGCAGTAACATTTGCCTCATTGGTCAAAAGTCTTTTTCCCCCCACTTCACAAGACAGCTGTTTTGAACAACTGTTATACCAAAACTGATGTTTCCAGAGACCCAGTCCAGTAATGGGTCAAAGGTCACCTAAGTGCACTGTCTGGATCCACTGCCACAAGTTGGTAGTCCCTGGAGTCAGCCATTCAAGAGCTTGAGCTGACGTGATAAAGTTACACAGATCGGTTCCTAATGTGGACCATATAGCTGACTGACCTACCACGAGAGCCTTTTCTAGTCCCCAAGCCCAATATCCTTGATGGTTATTAACCTGAAACCTTATTAAAGTTTTTAACTCAAGTTTTAAGAATTATTTTGGAGTCCATTTTTAAAACTCAATTACTGTGACATTAATGTGAAGTTATGCTAGAAATTATCCACCTGAAATATCTCATTGAGATAAGGAATCTTTTATTCCACAGAGAATGACAGAAACTAAATTTGCTGTCTAGTAAAAGAGGGGGGGAAAGGGTGGATAAAGATAATAAATCTTATGACGAAACATATATAGGGAACCGGGGTGGGAGTAAAACACACAAAGCAAATCACAGTGTAATGACTTCAGCTAGTAGCTATTTGGGGTAAATTAACAACAAATTATTAACGATAAGACTCTAACCTGCCTGATGTTAAATCAAGACATTGTTCTACTTGAAGAGATTACACATTCCTAATTAAAACTTCATTTCTCAATATATATTGGTTTCCTTAGGACTTTCACTAAATCCCATTACTTAAATGACCATTCACAGGCATTGGGTTTAGTTAATAGCAGCTTTAATAGATACTAGGTTGGAGGGCATATGTGCAAGTGATAGTCTGACTCATTGGCAGAATTTATGTGAAATGGACCCTGGCACAGTTAACTTGGCTTTGTCAGAGCAAAGAATTGAATTTTTATCAAATAAAATCAGTGCTTCACACCGTTTATGAGCCCCTTTTCCAAAACAATGATCCTTTATGAGGATGACTAAGATGCATGTCATGAAGCTAATACTCTTGTATTATCGGCTGAGTCACAGGTCCCTGAGGTTGCTGAGTCATCTCCATCATTGCCTGGCTGACTCTACCAGGGACTATTTCCATCTGTCTCCTCTATCTCATTGTTCATTATTTTATTTTTACAGGATTAAATTTCTTTATTTTTAGATAAATTCAAAATCCAGAGATAAAGTTTGCTTATCTGCCTAGATATAATATTCAATGGGTAGGTTGTAAGCTCTAATTGTATAGGGTTGATCCTGTCATCCCCCCAGCCAGCACTTCTGCAACGTGCCCTCACATTAAAAATGCAGTTCTCAAAGTGGATGTCTTTGAGTGTCTGCTGGACACTAGTTTATGCTCTTTGGAGTAGTCTGCCTATGATTTTTTTTTTTTTAAGCAGATTACTGCT